CTCAGTTTTCCACTTTAAACATGGTCGTCTCGCTAAAAACCGAGGCGGATGAAATCTTTGGGTCCTCGATTGATGAGTCCACTGCAGTTTGCGGCAATTCTGCCTGCTCGAGACCAGTTACGGATTCATCTGGTGGTATGCAGTGTGATGTTTGCTTCCGCTGGTATCACAAAGGTTGCACCGGCCTCCGAGCGAACCAGTACACTATGCTATCATCCAGTGAAAACCTCCTGTTTAGATGTGCTGATTGCTGCACTCAGAAAGCGAAGTGCCCGGCTATCATCTGTGCTGAATTTAAGGCACTGGCATCCAGGTTCACAGTGGTTGAGAAGGCGTTAGTCGGGCTTGCCTCGCTCAACTCTAAAGTGGACTTGATTATGAATCACCTGAGTATTGCAAAGGAGGACTCTGTAGCGAACTGTCCCCCTGCTGACAGTCCATCCCTTGATGGGTCGTTCATCTTACCGGACGCTCCAGTACACATTGAGATAGATGACTCATATGCCTCGGATGGCATTGTTGACCCTCCACAAATGGAGGGCGAGTCACGGGCTCCTGGGCCAGAAAAGAATGGGCGAAAGAGGGCAAGAAAAGTGCGCAAACCCTCCGCACCCAAACCGAGAGGTGAGAAGACGCTCAAGATGCAACCACCTGAGCGGGAAACACCACCTGGTGATGCGACTCCCTCAGTTTCACCTAAGATTGTGCAGGCAGGGGGTAAAAAACCCCAGATGTCCACATCGCGTGCTACTCAAACTGCGGCGCCTACTCCAAACACATCTTGTCTTCCAGGGGTACAGGTCGTGGAGGCAGGCATGGACGTTGAGCCACGGGCTTTTTCGCCTGCAGGACGAAAGAGAAATCGGAACAGAACTGCCCGTACTCTTCAGGCAGGTTCGAAAAGCGTCAAGAATGACGGGACAAACAAGCTGGAGCGTAAGACGTACGCTACAGTTGCTTCAACGTCGTCTGATAACTTGCGCCCAGTCTCGTTTCCTGCGGCTAAGCCGGTTGCGGTTCATGTAAATTCCAAAACCCGTGGGGTAAATACACCCCGTCGAGGTGATTCTTTCATGGATAGCAGCGTGATATTCCGTAACGCAGTGGAATCCACTGCTGCACTTCCTGCCGAACGTACATTAGACGACCTACAGTGGTTTAAGATGTGCGTAACGAAGCTTCTTCCGCCTGGGTTTCCCGGTGTTACTGTCAGGAAACTGACTAGATTGGGTAACGTCCCAGTTAACGCCCCAAACCCTCGACCGCGCTTACTTCGGGTAGTCCTATCCACCCCGGAGGAACGCAACGCGCTGTTGCGGTTTGCCTTCAAATTGAAGGGTACTAATGTTAGCGTTCAGCCAGACCTCCCATTAGCGGATAGGCTGAAGCTAAAAGAGGCCATTAAGGACCTCAAAACCAGGCGAGCGGCCGGTGAACAAGGTCTCCGGTTGGTGGGTTTTCGGGTGGTCAGCCGGCGGTCTGTTTCCGCCCTACCAGTGCCAGTACTGGTAGCGCACGACCCAGGGCTGGACATTACGACTACCTTCAGATAGTGCTAAGCAATGTGCGGAGCCTAAGGAATAAGATGTGCGAGATAGGTCTGCTTGTAGATGGGTCTCATCCCGATATACTTGCATTCACTGAAACGTGGCTGTCTCGGGACATCACGGACGGTGAAGTACATCTGTCTGGCTACGCACTATTTAGATGTGATCGCTTCGTTGGCCGACAAGGCGGGGGCGTTGCTATTTACGTTAGGTGTGAACTTGACGTTTCACGCACCTACATGTTTCAGTCGGCAGATAAAACTGTCGAAGCGCTGTCGGTAGTGATTAACACTTCCTCAGCTCAACTTACAGTCGTACTTGTGTATAGAAGCCCTGGGAGTGCGTCCAAAGAGGTGCTTGACTTTATTCGCTCCCAATCCGCAAACAGGTGTTTGATACTCGGGGATTTCAATCTACCAGAAGTTTGCTGGGCGGATCTTTCTTGCAACTCGGCAGAAGGTACTTTCGGGGCAGATCTACTTGAGCTTACGCTACAAGTACCGTTGCATCAGTTCGTGGACCTCCCCACTAGGTACATGGACGCCCAACTCCCGTCTATTTTGGATCTAGTGTTTGCCAAGTCACTAGACTTCGTAGGGGACATCACTTACAGCTCTCCCTTAGGTGCTAGTGATCATGTTTGTTTATCGTTCAGGTGTAGTCTGACCAGGCGTCACCAGAGCATTGCTAAGCCATTTCCAAACATATGGCGTGCTAACTATCAGGCAATGCGTACCAAGGCTGCTGGGATGCGTTGCGAAATCTCGGTGGTTGATACGGTTCAGGCGGCCTGGGATAAATTTAAATCTTATCTCACGGAAGTGTCTACTCCCTACATCCCGCTTGCGAGGAGAAAGGAGACACGGGCGCGGCCGCCGTGGATAGATACCACTGGCAAGCACCTGCTCCAGAAGCGTTCTAGGTGCTGGAGGACCTACCGTGCGGCTCCATCAACTAGCACCTATGATAGATACCGCGAGGCTAGAAATAGGTGTAAACAACACTTAAGGAAAGCTCGGCTGGTGTACGAAAAGGAATTGGCTGATGGAGCTTCGGAAAATCCGAAGAAGTTCTTCGCTTATGTTAAGAGACGCTGTGGTTCAACTTCGGTAATCCCAACTTTGATGCGGGCCGATGGAACTCGTGCGTATGCGGACTCAGATAAGGCTCGTGTACTTGGGGAACAGTATGCAGGGGCTTTTGTACGTGAGGCCGCGTTGACTAGCCTTGAACTTGTCCCCAGAGTACCTGAGGGTTCTTATTTAGCTGAGTTTACTGTGGTGGAAACGCAAGTCCTTAAACTGCTGCAAGAACTGAACCCTTCCAAAGCAGCTGGACCTGATTCAATTCACCCGAAGCTTCTGCATGAGTTGGCGGTGGAACTGAGTGGACCGCTGACGATGGTGTTTCAGAAATCACTTGACAGCTGTACATTACCTTCCGAATGGAAGGAGGCTGTCATCTGTCCTATCTTCAAAAATGGCGACAGGAGTCTGTCAGCCAATTATAGGCCAGTTAGTCTGACTAGCGTCGTGGTCAAACTGCTTGAAAAGCTGGTGAGAGATTCGTTGGAATGTCACCTGAATAGATTTAATCTACTCAGTAGTGCACAACATGGATTCCGGAAGGGGTTTTCGTGTTTGACGAATTTGTTGGTTGCTCGTGAAGCTTGGGCCGAGGCAGTGGACAATGGCCACGTGGTGGATGTGCTTTTCGTAGACTTCTCGAAAGCATTTGATAAGGTACCCCACTTGAGGCTATCACAAAAGCTGAGGTCCTACGGCGTATCTGGCCGCGCCCTTCACTGGGTATCTGCGTTCTTGCAGGGAAGAGAGCAGTGTGTACGTGTGGGTCGCAGCTTATCCTTTAAGCAAGCGGTCCTTAGCGGTGTCCCACAGGGCTCGGTCCTTGGACCGATGCTGTTCTCCATCTACGTAAACGATCTCCCTGGAGAGCTTGGGGTATCATCCCTATTGTTTGCTGATGACCTTAAGCTATGGAATGTTGTAAATGTTCCTGGGGGTTCTGAGGCCATACAGCATGCACTGGACAGACTCTGGGACTGGTCTACTTTGTGGCTACTGCCCATAAATCAGGCTAAGTGTTCCGTCCTTCGTATAGGAGCAACTTTCCCGCCTTCGAGCTACGTACTCGGTGGGGTCGAACTCCCCCTTGTCTCCAACCAGGTAGACCTAGGTGTCGTTCATTCCTCGTCTTTGCATTCTGGTGACAACTGGAAGAAGGCCGCTAGTAGGGGTTTCAGAATGTTGTGGTTAATACGCCGTTCTTTCGGGGTCTTAACTGCCGACATATTTGTGAAGCTGTTCTCAGCTTTCGTCCGGCCCCATCTGGAATACTGCGTCCAGGCTTGCCCGCCCTGCCTTGTTCGGGACAAAATGGAGCTTGAGAGGGTTTTGAGAGTAGGTACCAAATTGGTCGAGGGGTTACGGGGGCAATCGTACCCCGAGCGTCTACTTAGCTTGGGTATGTATTCAATGCACTACCGACGGCTTCGAGGAGACCTAATCCTTACTTACCGCATTTTAACAGGGAAGGTTGGACCGGACTTGAGCTGGCTATTTAGCCCGGCTAGGTTGCCTTGTCTTCGCGGTCATCCCATGAAGCTACACAAGCCGCGTTCTGACCGGATCAGGGCGGAAACTCGGTTATCGCGTAGAGTTATCGAGCGCTGGAACTCGCTTCCAGAAAGTGTAGTCAGTGAACCTACGGTTAAGGGTTTCGAGCGTCAGTTAGACGCTCTTGGGTGGCAACACGAAACCTTTCCCTTCTCCTGACCATATCCATCTTCAAACTTTTAGTTCTTATTCTGTCATTCTCTTCACTCTTTGGTGTTATCCTTCATTTTAATGACTTTCATTCCCCTTTATCTTCCATTTACTTTCTACTTCTTTCTTACTTCACGTAACCTACACAGCGCGGACTGCTAGTGCAGGGAACGTGGGCAGTAATTGGTTGATCAGGGTGTGTTTCGGGTGTTTCGTTTTAGATCTATCAAGAACTAGCACCTTATCATTTCCTGGCTCAACGATTTGCTCAAGAAGGAACACTCAAGGGATTTTCCTATCGTTCCAGTCCATCTGAATCTGAAATCTGAAATCATCGGCATTCATACCTGTTTCATATATGTCCGTCGTGAATTCCGGACATTTGCATCTCTTTGTCTGCATAACTACCAGCCTAACTTACTATTTCCAGATTTTTTTGTTTCACCCCAAACGGTATGTTTACGACGAACGTATTACGATAAGCTGTGGCCCGGAACCACTTCTACCTTGTTTCTACTTCGTAACCCCTCCGATCTACACATGCTATCAAACAGTAATTGATCCGAACGCACTGATCATTTCAGCTCTTGTTCTACTAAGTGCTTTTAGCACATGGATCGCCAGTTCATCCAGGGTTGCATCTTTGGAAAGGCAGGTACCAAGATGTAAATAAAAATATATCTATTGTCATATGAAAGAAAACACCGTTCTGTACATTATGAATCAGTCAGACGAACTGTATCTAAATTCCTGCTTGAGCAAATTTGCTGGCGTTTGTGTGCCAAATTCGATTGGAGCTCTCAACCCCGTTGTATATGGAATTCTAATTATGTTGAGTCCACTCCTCTCACCTGGTTGGCCGCTGGAAAGGGTTTTCGCGAATGGTTTAGAAAAATAGGGAAATATTCGTTTACAGACTCATACTCAGCGGCATCACAGTAACTGTCTCCGCAGATTTTTTGCCGGAGTATATGAGGAGCATTTTTCTGCGGGCTTCACATAGTCTGATTGAAATGACATCGCCGGAGTGCTCTCTATCTTTCATCCTTTTCTCCTTCGTACACTAGCATGGCAAATAAATAAGCTAGCGTTCCGTTTATAAGAAGAATGATGAAGGTCACGAAATTCCGGCTGCACCAATCCTGAAATGGGAAATGGGACAGTTTGGATTTCCTCATAGTAGGTCAGGAACTCTGTTTGGTTCGCCCTATCATTATGAGATGAATGGTAACTTGTCGACATTATAGCCATACGAATGAAGATTAGAGGATTTCCAAGCTTCTTCACGTGGCATTGCAAGTGAATCAGCCTCCGTTGGCGTGACCAACGTTCACGTCACTTGGACGACTCCAAGTCACCCGCAGTCTTTACGATCCACCGAAATTCGATCAACTAAGCAGTTAGTTTCACAATGACAGCTTAACAATTACAACTGCAGCGGGCAACCAGGGCGGCTTCCAAATTTACACATAGAATTATGCTTACAAGTAATTGAAAACAACGGTGTATCGGAATTCAAAACACGTGCCGGTGACAGGTTTAACTACCACGTTGATCACTCGCTAACCTACATGCGATGTCTTTTTCTAATTTGATTCGAGTAGCCATATTTGCGTAGCTGCGGGCTCTGGCTGAGTAGGGTAGGAGACAATCTTTGTCTCATTCTTTTGTATTTGCCCTTCCGAGAATTCAAAGAGAATGGCTGTTGAAGTTACCGATTTGTGCAGCTGCAACGAATACAGAGATCGCCACCGTATTTTCGTCTAGTCTTTCAAGAACGGTGGCGAGATGTCCACTCTCTGCTGATCTCAGTCGCTCACAAATCTGGGAAACAATAGAACAAGCTCCCTTAACTTTAGTGTGCAAGGAACACAAGTAATGCAACACGCATTGTCCCGCAGAAACCACCGTACTTTTGTCCATATGGAAGACAATCTTCGCAATGCTAAGCAATCATTATCATTGAACAGTTGATGGGCGCTGAGAGTCACCAGTACAAATATTGGTACCTCAAGGTGATAGGGTGATTGCAAAACTGGCACTCGTGTGTACATGATGTTGCGCCTCGATCAACAAATCTTTCGATGTGTTTCGCTCCAAGAAACCAAGTCCCAACATCTGCTCACTAATCAGTCGGTCTCTGAGTGATAATAGAATTACAGTGAGATTAATTGAATTCACCTGGGATTGCGAGAAGTTTACGCTTAGATCAGCTGACTCTGGCATTAACCCAACTTCTCATCATCAACTTACTCTAAGGCACGATTCTTTTATATTTCCTCACTGATGCGCGTTTCCTAACTACATTCGTCGTCACATTTGAACCCGCACAAGTGTGCTACACCTCGTGTCATCCTATTAAAACCAGAATCGTTTACATCTGTAGTCAGCCCCTTCAACAAGTCGATTTACAACATCCACCCTGTAGTGCGCTTACTCCTTAAAAATAGATCACAGTGTACCGCTGTTGACCAATTTTATCCAAACAGGCGTAGTCTCCTCCATGCCCCCTGAATTACTCTCTTGTAGCAGAGTAACAATCGCATCATCTCATTCGACCCGGAAGGATTACGAATGAAGTGGAACTCGCAGTTACAGACTTAGTTTTATACCACGAGTGACTAAGTTATGACCGTTCAGCGACATTTTTCTCTTTTTTTCGAGATACTTCTTAAGCCGACATTTCGAACTTTCAACAGCACCTTCCTTGCGCTTACACAATCGAACCTACCCAGAGATCTGTCAAATGGATCACAATCTCTCCTTGCTGCCTTCGTGCCCATTCTTCGGCCCGTTTTGTTTCGGATTCCCTGCTCAGCTGAGACAGTTCTTCCGGCGAAAGTCCCGGTGGGATTGTGTGAATTTGATGTTCACTAACGTTCGGCACGCTATATCGTGCACCGGTCTGAATGGGAAGAAAAGATGTTTGATGTTAACACTGTATCAATTTGGCTTAGAAGAAGTAGTAAAATATATCTAGTGGAATATATCAGTTATATATATATATATATATATATATATATATATATAGCATTGATTAGCCGCGTTCATATCACTAAACTTATTAAGATCGAATAGATTTACCTCGAATCAGCTTACTTGACTGAAATCACTACATATTTGCTGCGTATATATTGGACAGCATCAACGTGTTGACCACGTTAAGTCTTGCCAGACTGTTCAAAAAGTTGCCTTCAAGTGAGTGGCTGGCTGCATTTACCCTCTCTCGATGCACATCATTCGCTGGTCGGGTGCAAGTGGTCGGTTCGCGCATGCTTTCGACAGTGCACGTTCGTGGGCCGAAATACAGCTCCAGTGTATATTACACTGATTGAAGCGATACAGTAAACTTACAAGTGTCTTTGGTGTGTTTGCAAGTGCTAATGGCGTTCGGCATAATTTTTGTTCTGACCATGTTGTTGCGAATCTTTGCATGTAACAAAGATGGGCATTCTTCCTGTCCCTACAATGTAGGGCTGAGCTGTGTTCTTGAACTAATAATCACTTTCGTTCCCATCTGATTAATTGACACAGCATAAGGGTAACATCCATTTGTCGCATTCCACAGCTAAACCACTGACTCTAAGTAGCCTAACCTATTGACCTTCAGTTTGTGAGTACCTGCTCCTGGTAAGTTATCTACGGATTGGACCATGTGTTCTTCAGTATTTTCTGCCAAACTGCATGTTAGGTGGAGCGGCCGTAACCCGTTCGCGGGGAATTTCAACAAAAATAAGCAAATTCTGTTATCCGCTGCCTGTTTGCGAAGGCGCAGATGAAGGAAAACGACGCTGTCATCATTTGATAAACACTAACCAACTTTTAACGATATGCAGTCCTATTTTCAGCCTTACAAACCATTTTGATTCACTACTATCTGTGTTTCACCAGGCTGGAATACCTATTGAGACCCTCCGGCTGTGCTTTCTTTCAGCCTGCAACCTTGTTTTCGCTGTGCACCTAATTAATTACTGCATTGGTGCACCGGGCAATTTGTTTACACATGCAAAGATCCTTACGGAACTCTTCTACCCGTTATTTCGCACCACTTGCAAGCGGTACTTCAGTGTCACTGTTCTCAAGCGAAGTACATGCTCTTAACTTCCCGCCCTGTATGTTACGAACAAACCAGACTTGTACTGTGCCACCTACACAGTGCCGAAACTGGCTAACGATCAAGTTATCTCGTCAGCAGCTGCGTATACACCATCGGTAGGGAGCAAAATACATTGGGTCATATTACCTGTCTTACATCCAACCGGGATTCACGGAAGTGCGTTGTTAGAGGCACCAATTCGTCTTGAACATCCTCTAGCATAACGTTGCCAACCACCATCGGCTGCTTCGGACTAGAGCTCGTGGGTTCTTCAACGGTTGTTTGCTTTGTGGCGATCTCTGGACTGCTTTCCCCGTATGTCAAGGCGAGCAATTTTGGTCCCTCCTCGATTGCGTTCATCACAACTGCTTGCTGTTGCTCTATGACCGGTGCCTGGCATTTCTCTTTAGGTTTCTTATAATTTGGCTCGGCGTGTACTCGTTTCCTAACTCCCTCGTCGACCAAGTAGATAACGAACTCTTCCTCCTCTTCATCATCGTCCTTCTCCAATAACAACTCTCTGGCCGCAAGCCCTAGGCACACACGATTCCGATCAACAAGGATACCGGGTTGCGCGCCGATGCGTTTCGAACCAATCAAAGACGTCGGAGTACTCGGTTGAATTTCCATGGAATTTGGAGGTGGAAAGCCATTCGTCTGACTCAGTTGATGTTGATGAACATTCTGTGTCAAAAGAATGAGTTTTACTGGTAGTTTGGGATGAAGTGCCTCAAACAGTTGACTTTATATGCCAGGAACTCAGTTACGAGTCGCTACATTAAGAAATCATAAGCACGTTTCATTTACCTTTTTATTGGGTTGTGAAGCTCTAGAAGAGGTCTGCTTTCCGTTTGGCAATATGGGACGCTGTGTGAGGAATGCGGGTACAGTCCGACGCCGACAAAGACCAGAGTGTGTTCCAGTCTCTTCCGTCTCTGTCCCAGTATATTGCTGCATCCGCTCTCTCATCTCCAGCTCTGGACTCAGGTTTGGTGAATGACCTCCTGGTTCTACAGGACTGGGACTAGGAGTACTCAACTTGGGGGAGTTGGCTGAGGTGACGTTAGCGTAGTGTGAAAAGTGGTCATGCATCAGATTGGCATTTGAAATCAGTTTGGAGAGAGGGACGCTTGGTATTTCCGACTCGGGGTGAAGATCCGTTACTGAAATATTCAGCAGATACGGACTGAAATAGTTGTTTAATGTGCCAATTCGACGAATCTGACGAGCGGTAAATATTTCTCGTATTGCTCGCCAGAAGCATTCCAGTCTGGGACTAGTTTCGTTGTTTTTAAGCTAAATCTTGAGTCGGTGATGGTCTCAAGGTAGGTGTGAAGTTGCACATCATGTTTACCGTGGAATGCGGGCAGCGGTTATACTCCCCTCAAGTAGTAGTGGCACGCTGAGGAGTCCGATCAATAATGATTATACTTTGATTAGTGCGTCAACATTGGCAACTAATATACTTTGTTTCAGTGCATAAGAAGTTCCTACAGTTGGGGGTTTCAATGTACCAGCGGTGGTGGAGTGGAGCCGAGTGCTACGTCAGGTTTTGAATGCCACCGATTTGTTGGGAGCAAATCATACTGTCATCGGATGAGGTGCGCTACGGGCGTATTAGAAAGATGAATAAGCAAACGTAAAACTTCAGCGAAATAAAATTGGTTCTTGGTGTCCCTGTGTAAATCCGGTTGTGGTTATCGCTTTCAATAAAGCGAACATGAACATGCTAAAACCGACTTCTTACATCTGCAAGCCAACTTATAACGGATACCTGATTCTGGTGAAATGCGTGGATGTATGCGATTAATCAAGTTAGACTAATGGGTCGACATGGGTTATCGGACTATCCAGATTGAACCCCGAACACTCGCGGTCCAGGTTGGTTGCTTACCAGAGATAAACAGTTTTTTACTCCTTTGTGTACTCTCATATGAAACCCAGTCTACGCGTTATGGTGCTTCAAATTACGTTTACATTATCCTCATCCTCATTAGCTCAAAGACACCTCTTGATGAACCTTTCAATCCCGACCGGTTATCTTCTGCGCCACCTTGTGTAAAGCGATTATGGTGCCTGCCAGATTCCTAACCTGTGCAACCCGTTGATGTGGATGGTAAAAATCGACTTTTCCCAAAAATACCAATCTGTCAGGCAAAGAAATGACGCAGTTCACAAATTCACAGTTAGAGGGCTCTACACATCTGTGTGCTTGGTAGTAGGGTACTTACAATTATTAACTCCATGAACGCCGCAAATCACGCATTATTCGCTAATGGGTAATATAGCGCTTAGATCGATTACAACGTTTTTTTACAGATGAATTTGTTAGAGAACGTGCTACCTTGTCCTCGATAGTGCGTGACAGTGACAGCCGACTAGTCAATCACACTTGGGTAGCTGTTTTTACTGCCCTCCCTAAGAGGTAACCGTTTCCCGGACTGCGCGTCCAGCCGATAGACCCCTCACACTACTGACATCGAACAAAGCAGTCTTCCTCAAGTAGTTGACTTGCATCTGTATGCAATTTCCAAAGTAAGCTTGAGACTAGTTGAGCGTTGACCTATTATACGGAATTCACATCAGGTGCTCATGAACAACCGCCTATCTGCATTTCCTGTAATTAAGTTCATTTGCACATTTCTGTGGGAGTTCCCATTACACTTCAAATCAGTGGTCACTATTCTGATTCACCTTAATGCGTGTGGTGAAAACTTTTCACACATTTGATGCAACACTCACCACAAGGAATGGTTACATAGGTGGTGGCCACTGACGGGCTTCGCGTGATCCGAAATTGGTCACCGTCGGTATGGTCCATTTCACTGTCATCGTCATTCAGGTCGTCCCAGCCATGAGTGCCATGTCTGTCGGGGACATCGAGGAACATTGTGTGCGCTGGTTCACGTGGTCGCCCATTCGCTTTGTCTCGATGCACGGACCCGTCGGCTAACGCGCTCGACAGCTGAGGAGATGCATTTAGGTCGTAGTTGATCTTGGGCACCGTGAGAGTTAGCGGTTGCATACCGGTTGGGTAGTCAGCATTGCTCCCGTACTGTGGCAAAGAAAGCAAATGGAGAGTCAGTCTGGTGAAACATAATTGTAATATGTTCATGTTGTCTCAGATAGTTTTATTACTAGCCTACTCACATTCAATTACTACGAAGATGTGTGTGTCATGTGCGAGTTTTATCTTAACCTCCTTTGGCTGGACTTCACTGCTCCTATAAGAATCCTTTGGCACTGTCTCAAACCTCATTGTGCATTACCTAATATCAATGGTGAACTCCGGAAAGTGTGCATGTTTCATCTTACCGACTACTAGCCTCCAGTTCGATGCGCGTTATTATCAGTGTTGCCACTGCAATTGCCCCAGTGCCCCTGATGGACTCATAACTCAACTGGGGCTCATCGCGAAAACCTAATGGGTGTGGTTTAAAGTTGTTAACAGTCGTGTAACTAATTAATTGCTCGCTACCTTGTGCACACCGTATTGTACGAACTACTTACACCAGGTCAGCGGACAAAATGCAGATGTGGCGTCAAGCTTTTAGTGTCCTAATGAACAAGTTCTCAGCGTTTAAATTGGAAACACTGTATTACTTGCAGCGGAAATGTGTGAAAGACGCTTGCTAGAACTATTATGATAACTGCAACGCTTTTAGCACTTACTCAACTGTGGTTACTTATCGAATGACATCAGAATGGAAGGAGCGCACTAAGCTCACAATGGCCTACACGTTTGGTGCATTTGTAGGCAAGGGCATTCCCCGTGGAAGGACACCTCTGTTTGGCTTCTGTGAAGATTACGCCCCCAGTTATCTTACAGCATTCTATTATGCTCTGTATGAGCTGGGATCACCCGGATCCTGCTCAAGCGTTTTGGTGCAAGCATACTGCAACTCAGCATGGGGAAGGTAGCTCATCGATTGTAGGCGGGATGACACGAACGAAACTATAGTATACTCCATTGGTCGATTTAGCCAAGAAGTTTGACACACAGAGCCGCGAGGCACTGTGGATAGTTTTGAGCAACTTGGGGTGCACTGTTAGGTATATTCGGTTAATCGATTATCTGCGGCTTGGTATGTGAGTTAAGGTGCAGTTTGGTGAAGACTCTTAAGATAAATAAGAAATGTTCTCTGATGTGAAATAAGGATGCGTTCCGTCTTTTACCATTCTTAGCTGTCTCGAGCTGCTTCCGGAGGACCGACTTCGGGGTTCGGAGTATGCAGACGAGGTCACCGTAATTTGCAGTTTCTCACAGGCCGCACAAGCTGCCTTCTGTGAATTGGAGGTTTGGAATAACCTTCACCCCACCGAAGTACAGGCTCTTCCTGCAGGACTGGCAAGGCGCCGCTCTTATCTTTACCCTCTCGGGTCATTTTCTGGAAACGGTAAACAAGTTCGTTTACCTCAAAAGCTGATTCTGCGCTAATGGCTTAACCGACTAGGTCTCTTTGCGTGTCCCTAAGGCTTGGGTTGCTTTTTCCAACCTCTGCCATCTCTAGTGTTGACGCGACCCGAGTCTCTCCTTGAATGGCCGAATATACAATGCCACAGTGAGAGCGGTCCCGCTCCACGGTTACGAGACTTGGTGTGTTCACGCAAAGGACGTTCAGAGGCTGTCTTTGATCACTGCTGACTTCGGAGCATTGCTGGTGTTTGCTGGTAACATTATATTAGTAATGAGTATGTTTGACGGAGGATTTTCAGATCACCGACTTTAAGCAGCATAATTTATTTGCGCAGACTTCAATGATTTGGTCACGTGCCTCGTATGCCTACTCATCGTTTGCCTCTGGGTGCCCTATTCGCGCGCACAGAAGTCAGCTGGAATCGAAAGCAATGTGGCCAACATATGACTTGGACCTGAAGTATGAAGGGGCGTTAACCTCAAAGTTAACCGTGGTCCGGCGCGGTTGACTCGATGGCAAGGGCGCATGTATCATGAACGCGCATGGCTGGAAACCCTCTCGAACACGGTAAAAAGCGTGCACGATGACGAACATGTTGTGACACTCTACTCCCATGAATACTGTTTTGCATTCTTTTTTCTCTTTTCGTTTACCTATTGTATTGCTCATACAATGTGATACTATGCCTGTCGTACTTATGAACATGTGTTGAGTATATATATATACATATATATACATATATATATATATATATATATATATATATATATATATATATACTACCGAGCTATCTCTTGCTTTCGATACAGCTGAGCTTGTCCGCCCGGAGCGCGATATGGATTGTAATTACTTGTACCTTTTTCGCTTTTGTGCTGGAGGTCCTGTGGATAAGACAGCCATCACATGTGTTGTTTCAGCGCCACTGCGTTACGGGACGATGACTTTCACTTTAACAGCATTCAGCCCTGAACTTAACCGCAGTGCAATCAGGATTGTGTATCTGTCCTATACACCATCAAATATTAACTCAAGGTGGTCACTGCCAATCCCAGAAGTACGTTTTCAGCGGAACTGTGGATTATATGCAACTGTGCGCCCGCTTACCACTGTGATGAATACGATGTTCGATAAGCTCGAATCCTGGGAATTAAGGATTCAATCTCTCACTACTTGGGCCACAATAATGGTCTTCAAAGCAAACCATCTCTTGATCCTTCTCAACGGCTACGAAATGCTGGCATTTCATCTGTGGATCATTAGTCATCAGAAGCGGTTTCATTTGTACAGTCCGTGATGTGTAGAAGATGTGTTGTGTGCTGCTAGCGCGACACCTGTGATGGCGTAGCTATGCTCACTGGATGAACGTGTCTAGGATGCGGACACAGCTACCGTGTTGTCAAACTGCACAGACGAAGGGAAGGTAAGCAGCTAGAGACGGTATCATCAAAACAATGATTACTTTAGGCACTGAGTAGTGGCAGCTTCTCGCCGAGTAGCATGATTATCCCAGGAGTGCCTTCCCTAAGATACACAGACACGATCCGTTGCTTTGTTACACGGCTTGTCTGACAGGCGGACCTCATGTATAGTGCACGGCCGCCAGCGCTGCTGTGGTACATCCCGTCGTGCGTGTCTAAGTCCATGCAGGCTGGTTAGTCGTTGTTTCACTTACCAAGCATCACTGCCAAAGTGATTTTGAAACATGTGACAGAGTGCGTTTTCCAGACCTACTCACCAATCCAGCCGGTAGCGCATCTGACATTATGAATATTTGACCACATTGTGTCATCGTGTTCGTATGATGCATTAGGTTTTACCGCACTTAATGTAAATCACGATAGACCAGATTCTAGTATACCACTGGACTAATACGCTTTCGACACTTAATCCTATTCACTAAATCGAGCAGAGAACAGACCATTGATGCGCGCTGTTTGCGCAACTCATATGCCAGCTCCAAGCCGAACAGGTGGCTCTATCGTTCTCTAGGTGCTTTCCAACTAATCCTTTTCCTATGTCAAGCTCTCCTGCTATCCCAATTTTTTACGTGATGTGATAACTACAGTGCAGATATTTTGCGTAATGCATTTGCTTCTTAATGCACCATGCTATCTTTATGTATATTGCATCTCTCGTCGCCGGTCTCCGGTCGCCCTGTACCTTATGCACTGTCACGTGAATTCAGCCACTCATGAGTGCTGAACGTGTCGATGGAATGGGAGCTTGTCGCGAAACTATAATCGCTGCTACACACATTTCCCAGTTTGGCTCGTTTGGTTTGCCTCACATTTGAACTTAACAGATTGTGAAACGTGAGCTACCCAGTTGACGCAGGCGTACTGTGGCTTTTTGCAGTTGTCTAGGCAGGTAAGTCGGAGACGGACACCACCAGTTGGGAGCAACTTAAAATTGCAGCAATTGGTTGAAATCTATCATTTTCCATACGACTTCGCTGGACACTATGTGAACACCGACAACATTGGGAGACTGTCTCAACAGCGATGAAACCGGTTTGAATTCCATGTGGTCTTTGATACCGAGAATAATTTAGCCAGTAAGAACGAAAATGTAGAAGATTCTCACAATTTTAAACCTTATCTAACTCTAATTGGATAAGTAAGTGCTAACATTTTGTTCTACGGAGAATAGATTTGTCCGTGGAATGCTATGTAATGAGCGTAGAGATCTAACAGATATGTATCTTTGTTGCTTCATCGTAGTTAGATCGGGCACATGCGCGGAATCATGTCACTGATTCCTGCGTATTTGCATCATATTACGGTTGCGCCATAGACTATTCCGGTGCGATGCGCTCCTTAAATCTGAGATCCGCAAAGTGAGTGTCTAGGAATTGCTTTAGTTCTTACACCGTTCTCGCCTCGACAAATTTCGCAGGCAAACTGTTCCAAATATTTCACCAATCGGCGCTCGGATTGATCTATCCACTTTAGGGCCGGTACCACAAGCTTATAAATGTGGCTGCAAGTACTGCTTAGTGCGCACACGTGCAGTACTGGCCGCAGTGTGGGGAAATAACCCAGATGTAATATCTTGTACGTCCTTATGAGGTCCACTCGAAACCGACGAGACAATAGGGCGTACAGCCCTAGTCATCTGCATCGGTTCTCGTACGACTTACCCCGTAAATTGGGGACGAGTCTCTTAGGTATATGCTGAACCCGTTCCAGTCTCTGCACCTCGCCACGGGTGATCGGACAGTAGGCGGATAATGCGTACTCGAGCATCGATCTTATGATGAAAGAGAAGAGGCGCATGGTAATCTCTTCAGACCAAATGCAGAAGTTGCGTTTGAGCATCTCAAGCATGCGCGGTCCGTTTTCGTGTGGCTTGTTCATGTTATCTATGGACTTTAAATCATAGCGTCTGAGTACGCCGAGATCTTGCACTAAAGGTATGAGATGTAGCGGTAGGCCGACCAGAATGTGGGGATCAAATTGTGCTACGTGCTGCCTTCACACACTTGTCCCTTCGGGTCTGCACCTGATGCAATGCTTATAGATGAAATAGTGGGTGATGCAGCGCAGGCCACATATTGTAGTGGCGCGTAATGTAAGAATCACGCGGAAGACGGAAAAGCCACAAGAACGAGCGAGGACCGAAACAGGTACAGGAATCATGGACTAGGTCAGACGACGTAAAGCAAGGCCCACGAAACGAGCTGAGAACGGATTGCCAGCGACAAACTGTAGTGGGTTTATGTTAAGAAGAGAGAATGTATTGGCCGGAAGACCAATTAGTCGCACAGAAACACCTTTGTCGGTACATCCTGGGAGTAACCCCAGGCAAAGTACTGCAAGCACGATTAAGCAAATCAACAGCATTAGTACAAATCCAGGCTGGTCAGAATCCAATCTACGGAAGCGAAGTTGTGGTGTAGATTAGACAGGAAAGATTCACCAATTTGGGACGAACTGATGCACGGACGTTCTGAGCAGTCAATTTTCATGTGTGAATCGTTGTGCATAAATAAATAAACAAATGCTTTATCCTCGGCGATGCGATGCACGCCTGCAAAGCCATGCTCATAGTAATGCAAGCACAAAAATGTTACAAATAACACAGGGGATTTATATGTTTGTGTATCCGTGTAGGTGTATGTGTGCGTTATTCCATTTATTTTATTTCATCTTGTCGTCTCAAGCGACTGGCTGTTGCTTGATATCCCTGGTGTGGTTGCGCTTGATGTGCATGTTGACATGCTACCTACCTGTCTGTTACCTATTATCTCGTCCATACTGGATCTAGGAGACAGTTGGTCGTTGCTGGAGAGGGCGGGGTGCACGGTCCTCGTGGCCGTGCTAGGCTCAAAGAGCGCTTCCATGCACTCAGTGTGGAGCGGACCACAGTCCAGCCACCGTCTTGTGTGCGCTTGATTCCCAAATACAGCGTGCCTGTATTTACCTGTGAAGGAGTGTGAACCGGCTCCGTTGATGAAACCTGGTTCCCATCCACATGTCTCCCGGTCTTATTTTTTCAGGTTTACACTGCATATGAGGTGTGTGACTGGAGCTGTGGGTGGTGCAGCGCATGTCACCCATGGTCCCTCTGTAGGCACAGGCGTCCTGTGGCTGGCCAAATGATAGGCAAATCCGAAACCGGATGCGGCCAACCATGTATGTGTTTGAGCTTGATTCCTCAAGTACAGCGTGCTTGCGTTTGTCTGTGAAGGAGTGTGAACCGGCTCCGTTGATGAAACGTGACTCCCATCCGCTTACCTCCCGTTCTTACTCCTTCGGGTTTACACTGGATATGAGGTGTGTGACTGGAGCTGTGGGTGATGCAGCGCATGCCACCCATGGTCCATGAGTAGGCGCAGGGGTCCCTGTAGAGGCCGCCAGCCATGTATGTGTAAGTGGAAATGTTGACTAGATTTGTTAATCTGACTCTGAATTTGTGATTTTGTTTGCTGGGTTCGCTATCGTAGGAAAGCATCAAAGGAACAGTTCGAAATGGATAATGTTCGTTAAGTGGGTAAATGCAGTGACTTTAATTAGTGACGGGTCACATCCACCACGTCACAGTGTTATTAAGCAGATATTTGTATGGAGAACACTTGCCACGCGTAGTCCCACGTCCTGGAACATTGCCGTCGCACCATTCGTTGAAACGGGATTAACGCGAACCACACAAATGGCATCACGGGGAGGGAGGAGGTTGGGGGACAGCAGTATGACTTACATATGTGCTCTTGTGCGTGAGCTTGATGAACCGTTGTCGGGTGCAATATATGTTGTACTTCCTTGCTACTTCGTTCTTTCTACGATGTGAACCACTGTGGACGAAGGTGTCACGTTATTATCTACCACTACGATGGTCCGTTAAGCATCGATATCCACCTCAACTAGTTATAGCAAGCAATTCGTCTAGTCAGATTTGGCTGAATCCTTTGTAATTCTTTCTATGTTTGTTCAACTTGGTTTGCTCAGTTTGAGCACTCAGTTTAACCCCCAGAGTAACAGCCAATTTTGCAGCAATGAACATTGTTCCGTTCCTTAATTGCGTCCGTATGGTAGTCGGTGCTCATCTAAGTGATACAGCATCATCAGGCTTCTCATATGTAAGTTAGGTTTAATATTTGAGACCGGATTCATATACATATCAACAACGCCTTACCCCGACTTGCCTTCGGCCAATTTTTGTATTCGGAAACCTAACCCATTTGCGCCCGATCAAATAGAATGGAGCGCTGTTTTGGTATACCATGAGTGGAGGTTTGTTTTCCTGGTGGAGCAACCAATTTCCATCGAATTCAATACTCTTTCATATAGATGACATACTTCCGTTTTATCAAGCATGTTCCGTCTGTAAAAGCAACATACCCGATACCGAAAGCGCATGCCAACAGGCTTTATGAATTGTGTGCAAGGTACTTTGGTTTGTTGAAGGACACCGGTCAGACAACAGGCTGATTGACTTCACACAATGACTTTGTGGTTTTGGAGCAGTGAAAAGGCCATTGAGCACCTTTGAGGACTGGCAATGTGCGCCATGCTTCGATGTAGCAGTGGTCCCTGCACACCCACTTTTTAATTCTCTCCTTGTTTACTTAACTTCTCAATTTTACTTCTCGTAATTGTGACCAACAAAAGGGAGATCATGGAATTGAACGCACCTAACTTCTTTCCTTATACTAGGCGGTTCTGTGTCGTAGACGGACAATCATGCGAAACTTCCTCGAAGTTTACAACTTCAGAGAACCCCACAGCGAAGTTCAAAGTAGAAACAACTTTGGTGCAATTACGGCATTTTCCACATCAGACACATCAGACAGTAGGGGGAATACCTTCACATCGCAAATTCACCTGGAATGGAAACTCATTCGTATGGTCTTTTATTGGTACATGCTGTCCTGACTCCGGGTCACGTTGCCTCTTTTCGTGCTGACTATGGTGCCTGGATTTACGCCGCGCTCGGTAGGACCCAGCTCGTGATATTGGACTTCCTGATTCCTGAGGTAAGTCCAGACTGTTGCTGGTTTGGTGCTTTTGCTTTGGTGACTTCTCGGTAGCTCCATCCTGATCAGCAGCTGCACCTGAAGTAACTCCAGCGAGGACGTCTTGGGCTGCTTGCAGCGCGGACTCAAATGCTTGGTTTCCATGCTTGGTAACTCGCATCAAACGCACCATATCGTCTAGGTACTTGATTCCTGAAAGAGAAGGGTATACCTGAATGTCAAAACTTTATACAAACTAGTTAACAGTGAATCACCAATTGAAGTCGCATTCATCTAGTACCTTCTCGTTTCGGCTTGCCGAATGTGACTATGAGTTCTATCTGGGATACAACACCGCGCCGCTAATCAATCCAACTCTGCAACTTATCTACATTTGCTTCTTCCACTACCCTGATTAGTGTGCCATTCTGTGACTCGGCAGCTTAAGGACGATCTCGTTACTTAGTTTCACTCAAAGCTAGTTTAAACTGTTCCCCTGGTATCCATGATTTGACAATAAAGAAAATGTGGCCTACTGCCCCGCCTTTTAATCGCCTGTAAGTCTCTGTCACATTACTTTGCTTAACCTGTGTTTTGAACGTCTTAGCGGTATGACCTCCTTCACCACTTGACACTGTGCAAACTTTCTGTGTTCTTTGTTCGGTCTTCCTTTCAAACAGCTTCCGCATAAAAGGTCGCACCGCGTAGCCTACTTTTGGCTGCATTACCCATTCTTGTCCAAGTTGAACTTATTCACAGAGCGGTGTTGTTGGTACTTCCATGCTGCCTGCGGACACTTGGAATGCCAGCACCGCATGTTCCATTGGGATACACATTGGCTTCTTCCTTATTCTCTTATCTCTTCTTTTTCTTCAGGCATGAAAATTCAGTTCACAATACTAGTGCAATGCTTTGATCCATCCTCTGATGGGCTAACTGTGCACAACAGTCGCACCTTGAAATAATGGAACGGCGATGACGTTTCTTCTGGGAATCGTCCGGCCAGGTGAAGCTATTATAGGTCCTATTCAAATGAACTCTGAGTCGGTGGCACTTTGACACGCTTGCACGGGCGGGAATGAGATGGCTATGTGTGTGAACATGCAACTGAAACTGTGCAGACCACCCATCAAAACATCACTGGTAACCGCACAAAACTGGTGCAATGTTATCATAAGTCTGTCGAACTCACCAGGTTGTTCGAAATCTGGATACATTTCTTTGACTAGCTCCCGCGTTTCAAGTGAATACTCCCTAGCCAACTCGGCTGCTCTTTGGGCTTTGTCCACCGCAGTGTTTACGTTCTCTAAGCTGCAAAGGGAATGGGATTCGCTTTGAGGGACGTGTTGCACCTGCAAAAGAAGCATAAGCAGTACGCCGGTACGCAGTACCGACGCTTCGCTGACGCGCAATCAACACCGGCCGCACTTGGGCTAAGTTTGCTGCGAGGGTCGCCCTGCTCCTACGCAGGCTCGAAACCGCGCCGTCAGGTTACAAGACCAGCTTGTTACCTTTAGGCCACGGGGAAGCACCCGCCAACATTTGAAACAATGCAGTCGGTGGCTACCTAATTCATTTAGGACACCCAGGGGTGGATATTTAGCTGTTACACACACGTCTTCAGCATTGCAAAAGAAATACACAACAAAAGCAATAAGCAGCAAAGACAGCAATATTGTTACGATGTAAATTTGCTTCTAAGCTCCATGACGACTAAGGTCCGATTGCATAACAAGCGCGCAAAATAGGGGATTGCGGATGAGTGGTAAGCCCTTTTAGGGAACAAGTGGATCTATACTATTTTTTCTACTTGAGGAAGTTGATATACAGTCAGACAGTGCGCCATAAAGGGGGTGACTTCATCAGCGAGTATTTTTGAAGCAAGCCTTTTGCATGAACTGCAGTGAGTAGACACCATAGTGTCACTTTCAAGAACGTTGTGTCAAGGACCTATTTACGATTTTGAAATGCTTCCTTAGGAAACCAGGGTGTCACAGGGGAGCAATAAGTCCAATGGGGTAAGACACAAGCGGTAATAAATCACAGTATTAGGTAGCGGGGGACAGAGAAGGACCGCAAACGGGTAGCATAAAACGAGAGCTTTCTCACTTTGTAAACCCTTCATTGACATGCAGTGACCACGATAGACCACGGCTGAGTGTAACACCTAGATACTTCACATTCTCGGTGCAGCGCAACCGCTCACCATCTATGTGAACTTCAGGGTGATCCGTTGCAAGTTGCTGATAACGACGGTCATTATGAATGGAAAAAGAACGTCACAGCATTTTAATGCAGTTAGGAATAAAAAGTGGGCTCTGGACCAAACTGCAACCTCTTCCAAATAGGCTTCTAACTGGATTGATGAGGCTGTGATCGAATGCTGGATACCTAAGACCACGTCGTCTGCATATTTCAACGATATCGCTTCCTCAGGAGCGGGTAAGGAGGCCACAATATGGCTCCTTGAAGAACCTCGGTGGCTGTGATGAGTAGCGAGGAACTTTTACCCCTCAAGTTGAATAGAATGGACATGTTCAGAGAAATAGTCCCTCAGCATGCGAACAGTAGATGGTTGGATTCTGGTATCACATAGGACTCTCAAAAGAAGCTCATACTTTACACTGCCGAAAGCATTCCTATAGTCGAGAAGACATACACGCAAGAAATCGATCTTATTGTCCAGTAAGACCAGCACTGAATGTACAAGCTAGACTAGTACATCTTCAGTAGCTCTCAGTCTACGATAAGCAAACTTAAGGGGATCATCTGGATGAGTTTGCGTCATCATCCTTTCAAGAATAATCTTCTCGAAGAACTTCAGTTTTACTGAGACGCAATTATTTGGCCGGTATTTATCTGAGCACCAGTGTAATTCTAGCATTTCTCCAACAGTCGGCAATTTCACATTGCTGTATGCACGACGTGTACAAGTCACCAAGGGGCTGGCCAAGGAATCAGCACACACCTTGAGGAGGAAGGTAGATAATACGTCCGGGCCGTTTGGTTTGTTGGAATTTAGCTTCAGCAGGTAGTTGAGTACTCTATTCTTATCAATGGCAGATGAGAAGATTGTGGGACTGTTCACTGTGGTTAGCATTAAAACAACAAAATTTTAGGCTCACAGCTTCAAGCTCCACGTCTGTATTTGACTCTCGGTTAAAGACACCACAAAGTTTTTTAATCATCCGCCAGAACTCTCATCAGCTATTGTTTTCAAGAATGGACTCGACATATAGATGGTTTAGATGGTTTAAATCTAGTTTGCAAGAAATAGAAAGGGACTTAATTGCAACGTGATCCTTCTGTAGGAACGCTTGCGCTTTAAGCCTGCGCAGGCGTTTTAGACACGGAGGTGAAAACCGATCGACATGGATATAAATCGTTTCTAATGGACAACAGATCTCAAAACAGAAATTGAGCTAGCTCGTTAGCTGGTCAGAGTACATAGCTAAATCACTGCCAATGAATATATTAAAGTCTGTAGATGCAACCATTTCTGGTAGTGGGTATATGTTCTGAAGTGAACATTGTCTTCTCTTAAGTTTACGATCTTTACAGCGAGTGAGCACCATGTGATTTATTTTGTTGTAGACGACAGGAGATAACTTGACCTTTGAGTGATCAGAGCTACCGATTGGCGCTTGATTGCACACAAAAACAACCTCGCACTGTTTACAAATATCAGATCTATGGTTGCTTCAAGTCTAGGGGCAGAGTTTACAACATTTCGTAACCCGAGATCAGTGAGGATAGTAGTGTCAGATGTGTTGAAATCACCAACAAAAATGCAGCTAGAATAATCAATGCTGTCGATCACACTTGTAGTAAATTGATCGTAAAATGCTTGCGTTTCAGAGGTGGGGCAGCTACGGGAAATTTAGCGATTTACCAGTAAAATCGACTGGTAGCCGCTTAAGCACTTTGGCTTACAGTTAAAAATTAAACAATTAATACGTGACAAAGAGAAGCGAACCATACATTTTGATGACCTGCACTACGACGGATCGATGTAAGTAATAACGTGCTACTTCATGGTTGTGCTATATACATTTCCAGTCGGCAAGACTGTCGAATGAACCCCTCGATCGCTACAACCGTGTCGTCCACATCCTCATAGAGCCAGGTCTCTTGAAGCATAATTACGCCTAGGTTCGAGTATTCACGACAGCAGATTGTGGTTTTAAGCTCATCCATTTTGCTCACAATTTATCGGATATTTGAGCTATGTATGATGGTCATACTCATGCTCCGCGACATTTTCTTCCGTAGAGCGATCCTACATTCAGCACGATGCTTTTTAGTAGTTTATTCTTCTTTTTGTAGATTCCCTTCAGTTTATCGCTTATGGCTTGAACAGGAAAAAATGGTGCGTTCATGGGGGTAGAAACATATAGAGGTTTTAAAATATTGCGAGCGTAGATTAACATGACCTTGATTATTGTATGGCTAGGTTAAGAAAAATAAAGCAGGGAGTTGCCGAAAGTGTGTGTAAGCAATTCCACGGATGAAACGGGAAAACACAACGAATTCTGAAGGCTCCGCCTATGCAAGCTTAGGGCCTTCTGAGCTCAATTCACCTCAAATTGCACTTTACCCATGATGCACTACCTGAATCAACTAAGCCTGCTCACAACATTGTTGTTGAGAGTCAACTTTAATGGACATTATACTGTAATATCCGTTACTTGTTGGAATCACGACTAGCGCGTGTTTACCCGGTAACTAAATCGTTCGTTTGTTATTCACTTTTACTTGATACTTGGAAAGCTTAGTGACTGTTACGAGAATAGTGAACTGGGTGAACTCTGTGCAGAACTGATAGTTGCACGATGCACAATACAAGTCCTTTTTCATTCAGCCATCATATCAGGTACCGTGCGCTGTCGTGAGTAGTGTGATTGCAAAGCTGATTGAGGAAGGTAGAAACGTTATCCAAAGTTCTAACTCTAGTTCTTTCCTCCAGGCTCCACAAGCAAGCGTCTCCGGTCTGAAAGATGAAGCGATTCAACTAGCACACAACTAGAAAACTTGGCGTCCCCATAGCTTGTCACTGTTTGATCCCCAATGCTCTTGGCCACTCATTGTCTACCAATAAAATCAGCTTCAAGTGTATTAGTTATCCTATTATTCTTCGGACTCTGATGCATGAAATCACAATTCTCACTGAATTCCTAATGCTCTAGATATCTCGGTGTACCCGTTTATGGCTAATATCGCTTAACCACATAGTATAAACAACATATGGCTTGAGTTTGATTTTCGGGTTTTTGGAACACTCACCTTGTGTCTTGGGTTGCGACACGCAATCTCAATTGTTGCCTCGGTTTACTTTAAAGTCAGCCTCTGCCAATAAGGTCACTGGGACCGTCACCGAAGTGGAAGGTTTCGGTGTAGCTCTCTCGCATCTCTGCACTACACAATCGACAATTTCGTCTTGGTTTAGACTCACCAGGTAGAGATAGAGGAGCTAGGAGTGGAATCCGGCGCATAGTGCTTGGCAGTTACCGCCATGATCACTAGGCTATTGCGCTCCACGAGCAGTGCTTAACACTGCGATTAGAGGTTGATTTTCGGGTTTTAGCTGCTTAAATTAATTAGTCCGTCTGTTATCAGTTACTTACAACATCGTATCACAACATATCTGGGAAAACCAATATTGCATCTGATACGGATAGCGATGGTTGATCACCAGGCTCTGCCGCAAAGTTATTGAATCCGTGTCTCGCAACACTTCTGACATAGGCAATGCGTTCGACTCCACTCAGATATGTCTCAGTGCGAAGTCGTATGTTTGAAATTCGTCCGCAAAACGCAATTACAATTTATGAACAGTAAGGTAAGATGTGCTTTTGTTACTTCGTTTTCTCTTTTAACTGGCTACAGGTCAGAAAGCTTCGACTATAAAGTTTACTGATAGCTTTCATTCGTTTAACGAGATATGGGCGAACTGGATACTCAGAAGAATTGTTTGTCAAAATCAAATGCCGGGAAGTGAGTTTTCATCTGAGGTATGTAATGCCGGTAGTGGTGATTGGTTTTCCAGCACAACACTGTATTGACGCCAATCGACTCCATCCCCATCTAGGTCAGATATGGTACGTCGGTGATGGATTGGCTACCTACTCAAACATCTACCGTGGTTACAACCAAACTCCAGTGGTCACTCATACATTGCTCACATCACTATACCTAAGAAAAGACTGGTCTCGAGGTTACCTGTTGAGGACTTGGATCCAAAATCCGCAGTGTGGCGAAGATAGTTAAATAAATGGACAAGTATGTTTCCAGATAGGCAGGATGCACTCATC